GAATTTTTAATAAAAAATGTGAAATTGTTTCAGAGAGTAGTTTTGCTTTTAGTTGCTAGAACATCATGGGTATATGACCATAGATGAGAAAAATAAATTCAGAATGTTCTTACATTTCGTAAAGGATTTAACGATGAAGAAAAATAAATATTTGAACCCTATTTTCATACTATTCGTAGTTAAGTTACACCTAATGGTATGTGCAATTAATATAGATATATTCCCGTTTACTTTAAATTACTTTCAAATGATTTAACAGGTCACAGACAGGAGACACATTGTCAAACTGTCGTAAACGTTTCCTGTATTTAATAATCTGATAAGACATGCAATTATTGGAAATCTGACGCAAAAGTGATAGCGACAGGATTTCATCATGAACGCAGCATTCGCAAACCCTCCCTTGAGAATACACCACACCTCTTTGCCAATCCTTACCCGATTTAAACCCCCCCAAAAAAACACACACAAAAAACACACCCAAATTTTAAATAAATCTGTTATCTACGGCCTTCAGATACGCAAACTAAAGTGTAATCATTCCAAAAGAGGAAAATTCTTCCCGCAACGAATTCCCTCGGGTCGCGCCGCTAACAGCTGATCCTCCGCGCAGGAACAACATTCACGGCTCAACATTTAACTTATTAACTCGATTTATTCACCCGGGAATAATGGAAGCCCTCATTCCAGTTATAAATAAGCTCCAAGATGTGTTTAATACAGTTGGTGCTGATGCCATACAGCTCCCTCAGATTGTGGTGGTTGGATCACAGGTAAGGATTATTAAGGAGTATTTTTGTATTTTTTTAAAGTTCATATTTTTAATGTAATAGCTATTTTGAGATTTAAATTAAATGTTTTAATAAAGGACGTTTGCTTCAGTCAACAGTCTAGTGCTGTTCTTCAATTGGGTTCAGTGAAATTTGTACAGAGGAAGTACAGTGTTACATGTACACTGAAAGTAACATTGCCGCTATAGTACTTTTTGGTTTGTGGTAATTCAAAAGTATTTCATTTATCAGTGTTTGTAGGTCTGATTATATCTTTACAATAACCTTAGGGTCATATTCTTTGCATACAATTATTTATAGCTTTGTATTTTCTCAAAATATATCTAATGCTGCCAATAAATAGCTTGTCTGTAATGCCCGTATTTTTATTATTAAAGATCTATAAGAAATCTACACCTCCAACCTTGGTCTTTGTGCCTTAGGCTTTATAATATAAAACGGAACCATTCCCAGCTCTGTTTTGCTAAGTTATGTGTGGGTGAGATTCATTGATCTTCGATAGAGCGCTGAAGGCCCTTAGACGTTATCAAGTGCTTGAAATTGCATCACAAGCGGAATCAGATGTACGATTGTAGACACAAGTTTGATAGGAATATGAGAAGAAATTCCAGTTTTGAAAGCCCAGCAGATATCTTGTAAACATTTACTTTATCATTTGATGTTTAAATAAATTTGATGGATAGGGATTGGATGCATATCACTAGCACACGAGAAGATAGTTTTTTTTTTTATGGATCTTGCTTTTTCAGTCGAGTGTATTTCTTTTTTTATATCAGAATGTCCCGGTCATCTTCCGCTAGTAGATAAGTCATTTTCATTATTTTATTATTAATTTTTGTGAAATATTTTTATATTTTTCTAGTAGAACATTGAGAGATGGGATAAAAATGTGATAGTGATAATCATAAATGAAATTATAACCGTAATGAAAATTTATAGATAGCAGTGATACACCGTGTCAGCAATACTAGTATTTCTTGTATTGATGAATTGTTTATGATATATGTTGATGAGGTATATTTGTTTAAATTCCTCATTTTGGCAGCCTCACCATTCCTGCCAAGCTGCAAATAGGCATTAAATTTTCATCTTTCATTATATGCAGTTTTTATCATTGATGATTGTAAAGCTTGAATTTACACACTAAGAAAAATGTCTTTTGCTGGTATGCCACACCAAATTTTTTATTCTATTTGCATAATGTTTGTAGACTTGTTAAAAATTTTTAAAGTTTATTATTTGACAGCAGTTTATGCGATATCCTCCCCAACTGTTTAGCCTAAAATAAGTGATGCAGTTGGGCATCTATGATTGAAATTATTATAAATAAAAGTACATATTTAAAACAGTCCATCCATACTAGCAAGGTTACTATTGGCTATGCATAGCTTTTAGTACCTTAGTGACAACATGGAAAAATAATAAAAGCATTTATGTGCATATACAGTCAAAAGAGTCCCCTTACAATATAAAAACTCTCAAACTACAGATTTCTATACAGGCACAAAATCAAATGCAGACTCCATAAGAACTAGATGTTCATGACCATTTATCCCATCAACAGAGTTCTGGAAAGAGCAGTGTGCTAGAGAGTCTGGTAGGGCGCTCCTTCCTTCCTCGGGGTACAGGCATTGTCACAAGGAGACCGCTGGTGTTACAGTTGGTCTACACGTCTCATGATGACAACCAGCATCGGTCAGCAGAAGCAG